CAATTTACCGCATTATAAGTTCAAACACTCATAAAAAATTAATGTTCTGCTTGAGGATACCTTTTTTTTATATGTAGAAAAACTTATGTGAAATCTGTTAACATTTTTAATCTTAGTTATGAAAAAAAAATATTTTATGAATTTCTAACTGAAAAATAATTAAAAATATTTGAAAACTTTTCATAAGTATAAATAGCTCAAAAAGAGTCAAAATTGTTTTAACATTTTACCTTGTAGGGAAAATTTTAATTTTAACATTTGGTAAAAATTTCAAGTTTCTAGGTTTATTTGTTTTTAAATTAAAACAAAATATCAAAAATTGATAGATGAAAATTCGTTAATTTACTGATGAAAATTTATAATTCAATGTTGTACACATTTTAGATTCAAACGCTCATAAAAAATGTATGTTATTTTCCAGTAAACTTTTTTTTTTGTTTAAGGTAGGACCAATTGTGAGGATGTTCAACATTTATAATTTTAGCTATGAAAGGAAAAACTTTTATAAATTTCTAACTGAAAAATTTTTTGAAAATTTTCTAAATTCTAATATTTAATAGGTATACTTTTGTCCTTTAATCATTACAAACAATTATTTGTGTTTCTGCTAAAAACGAATAAATAAAAAAAAATATTACATAAAAGTATAAAACTAAAAAAACTACTTTTTCATATGATTTTTCAATTTTTAGTGTTTTTGAACTGGGGGTGCTGAAGTACCCCCAAGCACCCCCCTAGTTGCGCGTATGGTATAATGTATTTAATATGTACCTAATGCGTTTGTATGTATGCATATTGGATCACCCTACATTCCATAATATGGTCGGTCGTTATTAGTTGTCTCGTGTTTTATGTTAAGTCTAAATATTATATATTACAATTTTATTTAAATCCTCTGGTTGTTTATTAATTGTCGGTTGGTGATGTGTGACCTCGAAAACAATTATCGGACTAGTGAGCAATACTTACTTAATTGGAAATTCGTAACAAATTCGTAATGGGTAAAAGTTAATTTGCTTTATAATGAACTTTTATTTTTGTTCAATTACAAAAACCAATGGGGAATCTTGTATATAACTTTAAAATCTTAAATATAAATAAAATAATTTTTACAAAGCTCTAACTTCAAAACATTGCTAATTTTCGTTATTTTGACGAATATTGTCAATATTCTATATAACCTGTTATTTTTCTTTCTATTTTATCGGTAACATTTCTTCTTAAATTTTTTTTTCCTGACACTTTTGATAATGTTAACTAGAAAACTATAAACTACCTTTTCGGGGCCCCACAAAATGATTCACTGCAGCTGTGCACATTTAACACATTTTGCAAGGAAACATATTACGCATTTACGTATGTAGCAAAGTGTCTTTTGTAGCTTTAAGTCTTCACAGCATGATGCAATATTTGGACGCAAATAAAACCCCAGAAAACAATTGATTATTATTTGTAAATGTTGAAGTCGTTTTAGGTTATTTTTTTTATTTATTCGTTAAAATATCTGACATGTAAAGTGTCCAAACAATAGAAAAATTATTAAAACCATTTTAAAAAAAAAAAACGAATTTGTTTCTTGGTGTAACTTAAAAAATATAACTGTACGCATGCAATTTTCAACAAAGATTTTTATTTAATATCGACCTTACAATTTTCAAAATATTTTGATTGAGATATTTATATAGGCATAAGAAAATTTAGAATTTTATTAGTTCTTATAAAATTATTAACGATAAAACATTTTCACTTGGTCGAAAAATTTGAAAATATTGTACCTATATTGCTTTTTACCTTAAAGCAATATTTATAAATTTATGATGAAAACAAAGTCATTGTACTCGTTTAAAGTTTTCAAAGTTGCTAAATTAATAAAAATATCAACTTGAATCCAATCAACCAGACCAAAAATTAAACTTTAGATTTCTTAAATAAGTTTTAACAATTTCAAAAATTTTAAAAGTATTGATTCCTATGCGTAACCTGCAATTTTGGAATGTACCTACATGCGATAAAAGGCAATTATTCGTAATATCATTGGTTATGAATACTAGTTTTTATAAATTATATCTAATCAATGGTATTTTAAGCGACAACCCTAAACAGTAATGTCATAATTTGTTTCACTGACTTTTTGTTCCGTTTTGTGAATAATTTCATCCTTTCAAAAAAATTAATAGCGAAACAAAAAAAGGTGCTCTGCTGTACAGTAGGTTACAAGTAGGTCACTGTATAATGGATGATATTAAATGTGGATTCAATGATATAATATCATTGTATAAGAAAAACGATTGTGAGTGAAGACGGTATATGTCAGTCTAGGTATAAAGCATTATATATACTTATTTATGGTATTAAAAAAAATTGACATATTATAGGTACCTACCAATAATAAATTCCAAATTAATCATATCACAATATCCATTAGGTACTTATAACGCATTATACATCAACAACAAACCCTGATACTATCATAGATATATAATAGTGTACTTTAGAAGTTTCAAGTACCCACGAATAATATTATTAAATCACAACAAAATAACTAAAATAGTTATTCTAGGTTTTTTTTATGTAATTTCATCCAAATTTGAACTTAAAATGACTATACAAATAAACTGTGCGTATTTTTTTTTTAGATTTTTTGTTAACAGAATTAACTACTTGCGTGAAATCTTTTTATAAATTTTCAATCCTTAGACATAAAAGTTGAACATTTTATAATTTTTTAACTACAAAATAATTATTCAATTTTAAATTTGTTAAATTTTGTCAAAATTCGATCTTTAAATGCTTATAAAAAAAAATTGTGCCTATGCATTTTTAATATTTCCAAACTGATATTGAAACAATATATCAGGAGTCTTGTATTCAATTTTTACACTTTTTGGCCCAACAGATAAAACTTTATTGATATTTATAGAAAAAAAAACTTTAAAATTTGAAACTGAAAATGTCCGTAAACAGCTTAAAAAGAGTCAAAATATTTTCATTTGTATGGTGTATAGGAAATGCTAATATAAACATTCAGTCAAAATTGCATGTACCTACGGTCATTTGTTTAAGAGTTGCACCAAAAATCAAAATCGATTTTTTCGAAAACTTATTTCAGTGTAAAAATTCCCGTTTTTCCTTAATTTTTATTTTGTTTTTCGCGCCGCTTTTGAAAACTACTTTGAAATTTTCACTTTTGACCCCCCACAAATTACCAACTAGATTCACTTTCCTATCAGAAAAGCTACTGTTGAAGAGAGCATTTTTACATTTTACTGTCCTAAAACGTGATGACAGACACAAAAAAAAATGTTAAGAAAAATTAAAAAAAAAACACACATCATTGTAAAATCAATAAAATCATCGTTTCACTCAAAATCTAAAATCCTAAGACGGAACAAAATGTCCTAGTGTGATATACGTAAGCTTGAATCTAATATGCAATACCCAGATAAGCTATACACCTTAAACTCATAAACACAGGTCCATATTTAGGGGAGGGCCAAGGTGGGCCATTGCGCTTCCTGGTGGAACTTGTGGGACGGTAAATTTTCATGAACTTTTTTATTATTAAGCCAACACAGTTACAAACTTACAACTTTAAAATTATGTAAGATGTTTTTTTCCTTATTCATTATGATTTGGTGGAGATTTCCCCAAAGTTTATTTTAGGATGCTATTCTCTGAAATCTGTTTTTATACTAACAATAATAATTCCTTGGATAACTGATAATGGTATGATAGCAGCCCGCATATCTAGCGTTGATGTAAATAAGTAAAACACAACATAATAATAATAATAGTGTTTATTTTACTTTTACGTTATACATGGACGACATATTGTCTGGAGTTGTAAGTGAATAATAATTAAATACCAAAATAAATGTTGTTTTAATATATTAATGAATGTGTCTAATATATTAGTATATTACTATAGAAAGCTAAAAATCTAAAAAATGTTGTTTATTGGCATACAAAATCGTTATAATGTAATATTATGTTGAAGAGCTGCTAATAAACGAACAACTGTACCTAAACATATGTTTTTTTTTTTAAATTGGACCAAAGGCAACTAGTATGGATATGCCATAATATGCGGACGCAATAGCTGAAGGTTTCAAATGAAGTGCAGAAATCCATGGTCTTAAATTCAATACATTTATTGTGTAAATGTATTTAAATTGTACATTAAATAATCATATAAAAAGAACAACAGTCAATAATTTATACTAGAACTATAAACACTAAATACCTAATTTTTTAGTAGTGCTGAAATTGTATCAGCAGCACAACACCTAATAATTAATATTTTAAACCCCTAATCATTATTTATTTTAAGTTCTTACGCTAACAATTGTCATGTGTTTTATTTACATTACTTTCATATCACTAATTTTTTTTTTCAACCCATTTTCTATATTGAATATTCCTGAGCATGCCTCCGACCTCCACTGTGTTAAGTATCTTTCTTCGTATAATAAATAAAACACCTGTTAATCTTAGGAAAAGACTGTTACTACTTTATTACACAATTCAATTGCTAAATACTTATTACACAAAAAAAAACACAACTTTGGTTACGGCTTTCAGGACGACACATTCCATTCCAGGTCTCCAACCGAACTGATTACAGTGTACAATGTCAAGATACACCCTGGTGTCTACTGCACCCATATCTCTGGTGGGGCTTATCTTACATACATTGTACAACCATTGAATATAATATATATTAATACAACACTGCAATGTCTGTGTTAACACCCGTCCATTCTGACAATATCTATGTCCCCATAGAGTTAGCTTTTAACAACAAAAATTATATATATATAAATCATCTTTACAAAAATTTTAACAATATAAATCTAATAACTTTACAAAAACAAAACAAAATACACAACTGTGATGTAATGACCCTGAGTTCACAACAAATCACACGTGTGCCTATCACATAATAAACATTTAAGTACACAGTAATACAAATAATGATTCATATTATCTTTCTTTTTTTTTCATTGCGAGTCATAGTCCTGGAGTCTTACAGGCTTCCTCCTTACTCGTCCAGACCTCCTCACATCTGTTGGCTCCTCCTCGTTATGTCCAGCTATTGTTCCAGCCTCGTCTGATATGTCTTCAGCTTCCATTGACAGTTCTCCACTTGTTGTCATCCCTCCTTCACTTCTATCTAGTTCTTCCTTCCCAATCTTCCATGATTTTAATTGAGACACATGCGCTGTAGTTGCAAAGCATCGTCTGGTATCCTCTGCAAGCTGCGCTACTCGGTAGATATCATTAGATAAAACCTCTGTTACTACCAAAGGCCCACGATAACGCTCTTGCAGCTTGGTGGATTCCCCTGTTGACACTGGCACCCTGGTCATGACTACCACCTCACCCACAGTGTATTTGGTTTGGTTGTGCCTATGGTTGTCAAAAGCTATCTTCATACGTTGTTTGGACCTGATAATTTCTTCTCTTGCTTCTTCCCAGAGCTCAGATGGGCAGACCCACTCTTCGCTAGTAGTTGAAAGGTCTCTTAATCGACCTAACTCAAACCGTGGTCTATACCCGTGCAGCATTTCAAATGGTGTTAACTTTGTCACCTTAGACTCACTGTTGTTGATCTGTTTTTGCACTTCAGACAGTAACTCGTCCCACTGTCCTTCCTCAGCTCGAGAAATTAACATGGCTAGGATGGTGCTATTTATTCGCTCTACTTGTCCGTTAGCCTGCGGTCTCCGCGTTGAGTTAAGTATGTGTGTGACTCCACGTGATTCACAGTAGTTTTCAAACCGATGAGATGTAAAACAAGAACCTCGATCAGTGATCAACTTCCTAGGTAGTCCAAACCTGTTTATGAACTCATCCATGACATACAACACTCCTTCCGTACTGGTATCCGTTACTGGAAACAAACAGACATATTTAGTAAGATTGTCTACTAATACCAAAATGTACCTGTTCCCTTCAGTACTCGTGACAAACGGCCCTACATGGTCTGCATGAACAACTTCAAACGGCCTTCGTCCTGGTGGTATGGGATGCAGCAGACCAGGTTGTCGTCCTCTTGGTTTCTTTGTCATCAGACATTCCATACACATCCGAATGTGAAGTTTGACATAACGGCGTAGTCCCACAAACCAGAAGTCTTGAGTTATTTTACATACCGTTTTGTCGACAGACAGATGCCCTCCCAAGTCATGCGCTGACACCACAATGCTCTTGCGCATGCTCCTGGGCATTACAAACAGTAGTCGGCCTTGGTACCATCTATACAGCAAGCTTCCTTCCAGACTGTATTCACACACCAGTCCCTTTTCGGCTTTCGTTCTCTGCCCTTCAGGTTTTTGTAATATGTTGCATATCCGGCGCAACTCTTCGTCTTCATGCTGAGCCATCCGTACCTTGTCTTCTGTCTTCAATGAAACGCACACATCCAACCGACCAGCTAATACTTCGTCTAGTGTCTCGCCTTCCTGTTCAGAAACCGGATCACGCGACAGTGCGTCAACATGCAACATTTTTGTTCCTGGACGATGGTATATGTCAAAATCATACTCTTGAAGTATATCGTACCATCTCATCACTTGTGGCTTCGTAGCCCTATGTCCTCTCAAGTAAACTAGCGCCTGACAATCAGTCACGACCGAGAACCTAACACCCAGCAAAAAGTGTCGCCATCTATCCACTGCCCACACTATGCTCATTAGCTCTAACTTGCTCGAGTGATAGTGCGACTCTGCAGTGCCCAACTTCTTACTTATGCAATATACTATTTGTAGTGGTGACCCTTTTTCTTTGCCTTGCAGTAGCATTGCCCCGAGCCCCACGGAACTTGCATCTGTATGGACCTCGGTGACCTCTGCTTTTGGGTCAAACATACAAAATACGGGTTTATCAGCAAACACTCTCTTCATTTCATTGAATGCACTTTCTTGCATAGTTGACCACTGGAACTCTACGTCCTTTTTTGTCAGCCTCGATAGAGGTTCCGCCAGGGTAGCATAATTCTGAACAAAACGTCTGAAAAATCCAGTGAGGCCCAGAAATCTGCGCACACCGTGGACATCTTTTGGGACCGGGAACTTTTCAATGGCTTCACTCTTTATTGTACCTGGACTGATCTGACCTCCACCGATGACAAATCCCAAAAACTCAATTCTCTTTGCCCCAAATGAACACTTAGATGGCTTTAGTGTAAGATTTGCGATTCTCAATTTGTCTAGGACCATTCTTACTTTCACCAGCATATCCGACCAGTTTTCAGCATCTACCACCCAGTCGTCCAAATAGTTTTTGACTACTCTGTCCTTGAGACTGCCCAGCACCTTCCTCATCAGCCGTGTGAACTCTCCGGGGGCTCCCGCCAACCCGAAAGGCATTCTTGTAAATTGGCCAGTGTCATCAGGCGTGATGAAGGCCGTCTTTTCTTGAGCAGCTTCAGACAGGGGCACTTGCAGATAACCGCTCGCTAGGTCCAACTGCGTAAAATAACGTCCCGCCCTCAGTGACTCAACTTGTTCCTGCAGATCAGGTAATGGAAAATTGTGTCTTATTATCTGCTTGTTTAGCTTCCTGTAATCCACACATAATCTGTTTTTATCGCCTTGCTTCACCAAGATCACTGGACTAGCATAAGGCGAGTCAGTCTCCACCACTACACCATGTCGTTTCCATTCCCCGATTATTTCAGCTATAGCTTCTCGATCGGCAGCTGTGGTTTTGTATGGTCGGCTAGTCACGGGTGCACTCCGTTCAGTCTCGTTAATATCCATCGTCATCATTGACGTGCATCCCAACTCCTCAATACCCAGAGCAAAACAATCGCGATACTCGTTTATCAACGACAGCAGCTCTGTCTGCTCTTCAATGGATACATCGGCGTTAACATACTTGAAATCCTCCGTCCTTAGATCTCTACGTCTATGACCTGGAAGTGATAGCACTTGTAGTATGTCCATTTCATTATCCGTGGTTACGACCGATACATCTCCCAGTCCTATATCGTCCTTTGATTTGCACAGAACGAGCTTTCCCTCTTCCTTCTTGTAAGTAACCTCATCTAGGTCTAACCAGTTTCGACCAATAATCATGTCGTACCGCTGTACGTTATCAGGTACTACCAATACCTTGACCGGACCAGCCTCGACATTATCTACCGTAATCTTGGTGTTCACCTTCCCGACAGCACTCACTGACGGCACTGAGACACTGCCTAGTCCGTATAACGATTTCTTGGTTCTCCTTAACTCTAACTCGCATCGGGATGCCATACCGAATCTCATCAAGGTATAATAGCTTCCCGTGTCTAGTAGTACTGTCATTTCGATGCCGTTAACCTTTCCACGCTTGAGGTAGGGGTTTGTTGTTTCTTTCATCATCATCACATTATTGACAGTTGGTCGTGACGTGCAGTCACGAGCGAAATGTCCTTCAGCTCCACAAGCAAAGCACTTACTCTTTTTTTTCCACCTACAGTCTCTTGCCCAATGACCAACCTTTCGGCAGACATAGCACTTGCTTTTGTCCGTTTCCGCCATTTCGTCTGCATCAGTACTAGATTTGTCATTCACTTCAGGTTTTGGTGTCTTCGTGACCCACTTTCCCGTCGAACCAGAAACGTGACTTCCAGACTCTGAGCCACCTTTTGCGCTCACCTTTGCAGTTGGACGGCTCTTTTGCTCCTTTTCGTGCCTGGTCTCCGTACGTTTTGCGTTCATACGAGTCCAATCCAACAGATCACTCATCAGCCCTTCTTCATCAACGTGATTCTTACCCAGCACGTACATGGCTAATTCTTTGTGGTAGATCCCTTGAATGATGTAATCACGTGTTTCGTCGAACGATAAGGACAGCCCACGGCATAACCGTGCCTTCTCTTGGAAATAAACCATGATGTGTTCATCGGAAATTTGACGTCTTTTCTGCATGGCTTCCCACTTATCAGCTGTTCGTAGTTGTCGAACAAATACGCTTCGAAATTTTTGTACAAACTCGTCCCAATCCTTAAAATCGCGTCCGATGAACCAGCTGCGCGCGGCTCCCGTAATATACGATCGTACAAATTGCATGCGAAATGCCAAAGGCCAACAATTCAAATTCGCCATACCTTCAACCGTCTGTATCCAGTCATCCGCTTCGTGCACTGGCTCACAACCATCGAAAACCTTGATTGATTTATTCAAATCCGGCAGCACTCTATATTCGCAAACGTCCGAACGCGGCGTTTTGACGACCGCGGTCGTCAGCGGACCTTGGCTCCCATCGCGTACCGAAACAACTTCTGATTCTAACTGTTTAATCTTCTTTTGTAATTCGGCGACCGTTTTATACAGCTCGACGTAAGTTGGGGCTTGTAAATCACCGCTCGTCGCCATCTTATAATCAGAATCACCACCTCCGTTAACGTGGTCGTGAAAACAATAACAAACGTTATCACCGTCACCAATCAACAACCCGTTATCAGTGTTATCACGTGAACACTAACAACCGTTACCGCAGTAATCAACGCGGTGCTCGACGATTTTCACGGCACGTCACCTTGTTCCAAACGACACTGGTTCCACTAACCTTACTTTTCCGGCAACCCACGTTTTGTTCCAATTGTGTAAAACAAAACCGTTTTACTTCTCGTTTCGACTTTCTGCAATTCCCTCGCGTTACTCTCTTCACACCCTTCCGCTGGTGAGTAATCGAGACGACGAAACGCAGATTCCGAAAACCACGAGTCTTCACCCAGTTCACCCGTTACCACCACGCCTTCGCTCACGATCCGCTTTGTGAACTGGGGCCGATACTTGTTTGTATCCCACTTCTGATTTCTGTTAAGTATCTTTCTTCGTATAATAAATAAAACACCTGTTAATCTTAGGAAAAGACTGTTACTACTTTATTACACAATTCAATTGCTAAATACTTATTACACAAAAAAAAACACAACTTTGGTTACGGCTTTCAGGACGACACATTCCATTCCAGGTCTCCAACCGAACTGATTACAGTGTACAATGTCAAGATACACCCTGGTGTCTACTGCACCCATATCTCTGGTGGGGCTTATCTTACATACATTGTACAACCATTGAATATAATATATATTAATACAACACTGCAATGTCTGTGTTAACAACTGTAATATAGGATATTTGTTTCTTCTATTAAATTTTATAAAAGGTTTAAATTATTCACAAAACGGAAAAAAAAGTAAACCGAGAGGAACAAAATATCCCCGAGGAACAAAATGTCGTACTAGGACATTTTGTTTAATTTTTGAATTTTTGTTAAAATACCTATTAAAAAGGATCAAAATGTCTCCATAGAAAAACAAAAAATCCAAAAACGGAACAAAATGTCTCAAAAGGGAATAAAATATTCACGGAACAAAATATCCCAACACCTTTAACAATATCTCTCCACAAGACCCCCTGGAATCTGGATGTACTTATCACTTGCTATAATTAACGGTGTGAGTGATATTTTATAGTTGCAGTGCTTGAATTAGAAATTAGAGAAGCTCAATCCAACAAATTATAAATTGCGTTCCAGGTGAAAAATTACTCAACGCAAGCCCGTGGACCCCCTGAATCAATTCCTAGTTTTTCAATAAGTACTACATTTCACCTTGGTTAGATAATTTTAACTTAATTCTGTTTCCAAATATTTAACTGTAACATGTAAGTGAATATGGTATAATATTTTATATTCACCTTATTTTTTGAAATTTATATTGATAGAAATAATACTTAAATATTTCGGTAGGAAATAAAAAAATTAAAATTATCAGTGATAACATCTTAAGTGGACGCTACACCCGCTGTGTTGTCTCCGTCTTACACACGTACGACATAGACAAAACGCGTTTAGGCAGTCTGAGTATAACTCGCTCAATTTTGGTTCTAGAGTAAAAATTCCTATTATGAAATTGAATTGTGATAATATTTCTAAGGGCAAGACGCTGCGGTTTTTCCATTATACCCAATATAACGTTCATTATATCGTTTAGAAATAGAAAAAATTTCACCATTTTTATAATACCTTTGACTTTTAAAAAATTAAAGTTTTTAAAAAACCGCAGCGTCTTGCCCTTAGAAATATTATCACAATTCAATTTCATAATAGGCATTTTTACTCTAGAACCAAAATTGAGCGAGTTAGTCATACTCAGACTGCCTAAACGCGTTTTGTCTATGTCGTACGTGTGTAAGACGGAGACAACACATGCGGGTGTAGCGTCCTCTTAATAATTATAATTTGTGGTTCAGACGCATACCTATGATGTCAATTATGAACACTAGTCCACAGATATTTGATAATACATTAGTTTGTAATTGTAGGTACATAATATCTCCATCTGGAGTGAAATGCCGTGAAGGGCAATTTGCCACTTGTGAGCGAGAATATAGTTGTACAGGTACTGGAGCTGAGTGTCCTAAAAGTCCACCCATGCCTGATGGTACTGGGTGCCTCGAAAGAGGTAAATGTACGTCTGGTAAGTCCGCTATGGCCGTCGAAAGTCATGGGCGACCTGGGTGCCAGCAAGGACGGGGCGCCAAAACTGAGACTTCGGTCGCATTTACCGTCTTATTGTTGTTTCCGTTTGTAGTTTTCGTTGGTTGTTTTTTACCTCTGTACCCCGTTCGTCGTCACCTAGCACCTAGACACCGTCAACATCACCGTCACCGTTACCATCACCGTCACCGTCGTCACCTGTAAACATCAGTGCAACACCACCGTATTCAACAACAACACGGTTTTCTTCATCTATTTATTTATTAAAACTATTGTGAATTTGTATTAGTTATTTCCCGCTGGCCAGCACGCATTTGTGCCCCAATTATTTAATTTTGTTGTTTTGCTTTTGTAGTAGTCAGTAAAAACACGGCAAACGAAAACCTCGGGCCTGATTTATTGTGTAACATTTACCCTAATTTACAGTCCACTTTATCCTCGAATTACCGAACAATTTGTTTAATATACTAGGTACATTAATGTACACACTTTTAATAAAAACATAACATTTTAATCTTCCCTTGGTCCTTTTTAAAATAAAGCGAAAGTTAATATGTCGATCAACAATTAATTTAAAATAATCATAGAAATCTTTTTAATAATTAATTTTTTTTTATTTAAGTCGAAATATACATTATACAATCTATATCAGATGACATAATAAGTATATATGATAAGAAGATAACATGAGTACCTATACAAAAAATAAAAGAGAATAAAGAAGAAACCCAATGATGATTTTTAAGTTGTGAGATAATTAATATATATATATATTTTTTTTTTTTTTTGATTGAAATTGGTAACAGGTCTCTGCATCATTTACGTATTAAACGTCTAGAAGGGCTGCCGGGGATGTTTTTAATTAAAGGATTTGAGTGGGAGGAAAGTCGGTTGTGCCGGTTGTGGAATCTTTTAAATAATTAAAATTTAATATTTCTTTTTGTTTAGCATAATTTTGTTTTCAACACTGTATAACAACTATGCTGCCCGCCTGTCCCAATAAAATAAATAAAAACATGGGTACTATCTCGGTTTATGATGGATCATGGATCTTAGATTGAATTGGCTTAACTAAATACAATAACAAAAATTAAAGATTAATACATATAGGTATATAATTTTTTGGTTAAAATTATAAATTTTCATCAATTCAAATATGGCCTTACTTAAAGTTTTTTTTATTTTATTATAAAGATAATTTGACAATACAGACTACTAAAAAATAGGTATTCGGTATTAATGTAGCTTAAATTTAAAAAAATTTAACTTTTTTTATATTGGTTCAATATGCACATTTTAATGCATAAAATACTGCATATTATGATTTTTTTATATGCATATCAAAGCATATTTTTCCATTTTGATCATACATATTTGCATCATATTAAGCTCCTTTTCAGTGCATATAATTCAGGTCTCTAATCATAATAGTTTCTTATTTTCAGTATTACAATCATGCAAAAGATGTTGTCATATAAATTTAAACGATGCGTGGAATCCAGTCCACCTGATGTATTGCCGGATGGAACGCTGTGCACTCAAGGATTTTGTAACAAAGTACTGTTATGTTTGTTTTTAATAGGGTGCCTGCGAGAAAACTATTCAAGATGTTGTAGAACGTTTTTGGGATATCATTGAAGAAATCAACATTAACAAGATGTTGAGATTCTTAAAGGATAACATTGTAGGCACAGTGATTTTGGTTACTGATTTGATATGGGTACCAGCGTCTTTTATTATTAACTGGTTAGATCATAAACGTGCCAAAGAAATCAGCGAAAGAAGAAAATGGGAAGATCAGGATGATTTTGTACAAATTTCCAATGACGCAGGACCAAAAAAAAATAATTTACATAAAAGTGAAACATAGTGAAACGGAAATTTTAATGACGATAAGATACTTAAATCAACTTAATATATATTTTGTTAGAAGCCAATATTATATTGAACACTCCAGGATCTCTATGATTAAAAGCAAAAGAATAGTTTGTTTTAATTTTATTAAGTTACCTTTTATTATTATATTTTTTTTACATTTAAAAATATTATAATAAAATTCTTCGTTTTTTAAACTAGTCACAATATTAGAATTAAGGTTTATAAAAATAGATAAGAAATTCACAATTAATTTTAATTATTACATATTGGTATTGCAATAAATCAATTTGTATTATCATACAAATATAATATTGTACTCGGTGTATGTAATTCAAATTATAATTAATATGTTAAAATTACATAAAAATATATATATATATAAATATATTATATTAGGCTTCTATTTTAACATAATTTGATGCAAAATTAATTACAAGCAGAACAATCACAATTTACAAACTAATACTTAAGCATAATTAATATCTATACTTTTTTTTATCAACAATATAACAGTTTACAGTAATAAGTAAGAAATAAAAGTAAATTATAATGTAATACATAAGTGTAGAACAATAATAATAATAATAATAATAATAAAAACAATTAATTCAACTGACGTATATAAAATATAAAAAAAAGTTTTCAATATATATTAAACAGTGTTTAATACTCTTAACTTACAATACATAAATGAAATACTAATTTTATAAAATAATAATAACAAAATTATAGATTTTGTGTTTAATATCATACAAGTGTGTTCCAAACAAAAAAAAGCAATTGACTCTGTTAACCCTCGTTTGTAACGTGTGTGCTGAAGTTGTTCCTGGTCTGTACGTACGACAGTACAATACAGAGGTAGGGACAGAGTTGGAACGGTTTGGGAACACAACTGTAAAAAGGACGGCGCCGCGCTCACATTTTCTACCAAGATGTTTGGTAGGAGCTGTATATATTATAAAAATATAAATCACTGTCTTATAAAGAAACAAATAGTGTGCTCGTTTAAAAAAAAAAAAAGTAAATTGATAAATTAATATTCATACATAATTATTTCCTTGATGAAGTTTTAATATATCAAGTTTTAACATGTAAAAACTTGGCTTAAAATTTAAAAAAAAATGTATTCGTATAATATAGTACTATATTAATAGTATATTTACATATAATTTGTTAAGTAGATCATGTGTAAAAATGTTTGAAAGAAAAAAAATAACCATAGTCATAATAATACTTCAGTCTGTGGTTGAATAACCTAATTTGATATTATAGCAAAGTTTAGTTAAAACGTCTCTGTGCTTTTTAAGTCATAACAATAAATTATATTAATAATGATTATAGATACACTAATATAGTTCTATAATATTAATTATGTACTGAATACAATAATAATAAAGCTACATTTACATAATTATTTAATTGATTAATAGCAAAACAAATCATTCTGTATAGTGTATAATTATTATCTAGAAATTTAAATGGAAAGAAATAAGTTAATATTATCCTAAAGACAATAATGGAAGTAAAAATATATGTATCAAATAGTTTTTAGGTGGGTTACTTGGTTATAATATAACACTATTTCATTTTTGATAATCATAATTTCCATATGTCAATTAAAAAAGTTTGAGCCGTTCTTTATGTCCATCGACAATAATGAACACACATGTTTAAAAAAATGATAAATGTTAATGTACATTTTAAAAATAATGGTACTTAACTTGGTAAATAAATGTTATTTTAACAAAATATACAACACATTATATGTCAGGTACAAAATTAACAAAAGAAAAGTAGAAAAGAAGGAAAGAACTCACACTAGATTTACTCATGACATAAAAAGCTGTTTGAATAAAAGCTATCTTTTATTCACTTCTGAATAAATCGAATTGTGATTAATTTCATTCAAGTCTACTTTTAAACTTTCATAATTTGGATCATTTTCAACATATTCAACAGTCATTGTCCTAGTCAAGCTTGCATAGTCTGGTTCAGATGGTTTGTCAATTTTTTTTATCCGAGCGTACCCATGACTAGTGGGTCGTAACTCTTCGTAATTAGGATCAACATCTGACGCCTGTGTCTTTTTAGGTTCAACCAATCTATCATAAATACCTTCATCATATAGGGGGGGTAAAATAGGAGATGTTTGTTCTGGTGAATCATTGCGTTTCTTCATTACTTTAGCATACATCTCGTCCAGGTATTCTGGAGGTTTTGGTAGAGGTGAATTGGCCTGTCGTTTTTCAGGCTTAGGTGAATTAGAACTCACAGCACTTGATGAAGAATCTACAAACAAAATTGATTTACATTTCCATTTCATGTATACCATCAATATATAGATCTGTACTAGAGGTAGGTCTAACTATTCAAGTTTTAAAAGAACCAAAATAAACCAAACTAGAACATAAGTTTGAAATTCTATAATTAATTCACTCCAATAAAATTCCAACATATCAAATGTCTGGAACCAAAAATGTTCCCTGTATTTAATAAAACATTTTTATTTTGTCTATTGTATATTCCCGATATTAGCCATATTTTCTACTAGTTTATTATTTTAAATATGGAGTTGAATTTTGATTCCAATTGCATTATTGATTATTGTTATTTTTAATTTTAATACTATACATATGTAGAAAAACCATGATACTACACGGGCATCGATTATTTTTTGTGCCATTAAATTATTTATAGACTTACATAATTATTTTGGCTTCGTACTCTTTTTTCAATCAAAGTTTTTAACTCGCTGAAGAATAATAAAAGTTAATATTGATTATTATTATTATTCAGAAATCATTATTGTTTATAACTTTATAAGCTGTAACATTGGTCCTACTCATTAGTCGTTACACAATTAGTTATCAATGTTATTAGTGTTATTACTTATTAGCAGGGCTGTTCGATTCGGGTTTGACATCACAATGAATTGTTCGATTCGACATACTATTAAAAGGTTTGGTTTGAGAATATATTTGTGAGTTTGACTCACCTCTCATCTGTTCTTAAAATGTTATAAAAAGAATTACCCTGTCTGGAATGTGTTTGCTCAGGTCCATTAATGTGCGATGTAGAAGCTTTATATGTCTGACCTGTTGAAGCAACTGGTATATTGTTTGCACTAGGTATCTGAGCATATGTTTCACTTCCACTAGTATATACATTATTGCTTGGGTCAATAATAGCTGCATACATTTCATCTATGTAAATCATAAACATATTTATTATAGTATATTTTAATATTTAAATGTAGCTATATCACATACCAGAATCATCTGAGACAAAAGCATAATGAGGATCCGATGGTATACCGCCATTTCGAGCACTGGACATGATCCTTGATAATGGTTCTCGAACACTGATACTTGTGTATCCTTCTGAAATTTGGTTATAATTTTTAAAAAAACATTCAAACAATAATTATTCTAATAGTATTCTTACTACTAGAATCATGCGAATCTCCACTGTAATGTCCCTGTCTTAGTTGCACATTTAATGGATGTTCTATAGGTCCTACCGGTGGAGTCATATAAGGAATGTTAACACTAGCAGCTTCGTCACCTGCAATCACACTAGCCGCTGCTATATCTTGATCAGGAGCCCTGTCAACTTCATCCAATTCTATTGACTCAGTTAAACTGTCTTTCTCCGATCTATAACATACATTTTGAAATAATATACATTTTTTAAATATAATGTGGAGTTAATTACCTTTGGGAACCAGGATATTGATTTGTTGCATTATGCGCACCAACTTTAGCATATGGATGTTCCTGTTTTAATTTGTCATATGGATTTTCCTTATTCACACATGCATAGACACATTCACTTTTGGATGCTGTAGTGCCACTCGATGGAGACATTGTGTTACTGACATATTTTGAAGAATCCCCTTTGATGCCATTTTTATTTTCTTCAACAGTAGCATACAGTTCAGAGTTTGTATCACCTCCATACCAAACAGCAGTGGCAACAGCATCTGAACCTCTAGGGGTTTCAACAGGTAAATCGGGAAGACTTCTAGTGGCTGAAGATAAAGTTGCACCAGCTGAACTTCTGTTGAAATCAAAATCAAAATATTAGGTTCAAATGAAATTGTAAAATATAAATAAAATTCTTAATATAAAAACCTTTTGGTACTATTTGTTGGGGATGGACTAGTTGATAAGTTCCTGTTCACTGGTTCTGGTCCAACATCAGGATTGGTAATTTTTACCATGCCAGCAAGACCAAGTAATTCATTTCTTTTGTGATACAAGCAAACAAACAAAAATAAACAAAAAATTACATTCCAAAAAAATAATAATAATTGCATTTCTTTTAAATTTCAACTTTGAATGGACTAAAAATATTTATTGTTGCTAGCAAACAATAACAACAATTATAGGTTGATTTTCATAAGTGCAAGCATTAATTTTTATAATTTTTGAACAAAATTTCTTCACAAGATAAAATGTATAAAATAATTCTAAAACAAACTACAAAGTGCGCATACCTGATATTAATACAGGTTAAAAGGTTACACTTACCAATGCATACTTATAATAATATAATGTAATTAGACCTAGGAAAACCTACCTATACTCTGTCCAGCTAAAGAACATACTGCGGCTCATCAAAAATTGGTTTTTCCACACATTCCTATATCCCTATGCAACCCCCTGCCATAGTGGGGAGTGTCTCAATGGCAGGGTGTCGAGTGTGGATGAGCCGAATTTGTGTGTTCTCTCGCTGAATATTAGTTTTTTTTTTTAATTATAATATATCAGATAATAACTTTTCTAAAAATTGTTTGATACTAATCTGTGATAAATTTAAAATTGTTTTTCGTTAAGAAAAATTATTATAAAAAGCTAAGCTATCCGAAATCTGTAAAATAATTAGAGGTACTATAAAAATATAAAACAATAGTAGTGAATATTTTCCTATAATTTTTTGATAGGTATATTGACAAAATTGGTTTCTTGGGTTTAAAATTTATTTTCGACATTGGCTATTTTAATATATTGTTTAAACTTTGATATCCACCTAATTTAAAAAAAAACATAGGTAGGTAATTACATTTTTTTGAGAGTTAATTCTATTTATATAGTTAATTATTTATCAATAATATTTTAACTTTGTCCATTAAGTACAACTTTATGTAAAAATCTTTAAAAATATAGTTATTTTAAATTAATACCTTATACAGTTATACTTAATATACAACTACCATTAAACAGGCACTTTTTAAGAATTTTTAAAATGCTTTTATAAAACTTTGGTATACTTATAATCGCTTATAATTAAAAACAAACAATATAAATTATGAATTACAAACACAGTTTTACATGCACATAAACACAACTTATATAGAATAATTCACCAAGCATGCTCACCTTCAATATTTGATTTTTTCATTAATAATGAATTATTCAAATTATGATTTTGTTATTTTCAAGTATACTGAAGGACCATATTTTCAAATAGGTACCTACTTTGATTTTTTTACCATTTAAGGAAAGCCCTATGTCGATACAAACCCCTTTTTTTAAATCTCAACCAACAAACCTTTTTTTACTGTACATTGTTAATTTACATAACGTACTTCAGGTAGTTCTATTGAACTACCTTGAAAATTGGGTGGGTGGGTTGAGAGGGTATAGAGTATACTTTCTTGTCTTTTTGCTGTAATATTAAATTAAACACAGGAATTTTATTAAATTATTTGTATATAATTAGTTTAGCCCATTTTAGAGTTGTTTGAAGGGGTGGGTGGGCCAATCATACTATTTGAACTGCCAGTTTTAATTTCAATAAGTAAAATTATTTTAAATTTATATTTTTAAAAGATTGTTATTCTTCTCAAGCTTTTACAGCCTATTAAGGAGTTTCACTGCGTCTCATGCATTTGCCCATCTGTCTCTATCCATACTATCTTCCATTATTATTTAAATTTGATTAAATATTCTTTGATTCTGTTCGGCTAACACTGTCTAGGGCAATCTCTATGGTTCATTCCATTTATGTTTCCTACTAGGCCTTTAAATTAACATGGCCTGCTCACTTTAATAGCTAATACGGCAAGCATTTATACCAGATTTTTGATTTGTTGGACTTTTTATTTATTCTTGTCCGAGTTCATGTCCTATAAACTTAATTTCCTAACATTGGTTCATATACCCATTTAAGTACTCTTCTTTTATATCAAGACGTTTTCCTTCATCACACCTGTATGTCTACATTGATCATAATATGATCATATGAGCTGGGGCGAACCTATGGTATGAGTAGAAGCCCCTTAACATTTAAATTGAATATATTTTCTTAAGTATTTAAAAATGTGGCCCTTGAGCATGCTTAAAAATTTCAAAATGTATTATTAAAGGTATATTGGAGGTGAGCGTGCTTGTTGAATCATCCTGTATAAATAGTAGTACTATATTATATATGTTACAAAAATGACCTATACAGTTTTAGTATAAAGAAAATACAACTAATAATAGTAAAATTAAACTCAATAAACATAATATTATAAAATATGACTCACTTTGGTATCGATTTGTGACATCCGCATATACAGGCAACAATCAGTATAACAGTAGTAAACAATAGTCCACCAGACACAAACCATATTAAGCTATCCTCAAACATCATGCTATTATAATATAATTAAATTTCATTTTAACACGAATAGAACTTAACCTTGAGCGTTTTTAAACATTAAAATTCGGTTTTCGGATCAATTTTGAAAGTAATCTTGGTACGTTTTACATGTTTCTTAGCGATTGAGCATTTGCAAGACTGACACCGCATAATTACACAATGATCACAACTTAACATTAACATGAATTCAATAGTAACTTGAATGTACAACTTTAAAAACCATGTAACAATAACAAATAGAGTAATTGCATTTCGTTATACTTTCCAAATTAAATTTCATGTTAAAAATTGTTTAATGTTTATCAACCGTGTTATCAAAAATTTTTTTTTATTACGGTAATCCCCACTTTCCGTCAAATAGGTGTAATTAGTACTAATTACTAATTCGTAGGTATCCACAAGTGTTGGTGAGTCAATTCACTTATCTTTGGCCATGAAAATAATATGATATGACTTATGATAAATGATAATAATAATATATAATTTAAAATTTGATGTTTCGTACTTTCGTGCCGCTTACTAACTTTTGTTAAAATGTCGATTGTTCTGTAAACTGTAGATCTGACACTATTTTAAAGCAATACATTTTTAATTATTATAGTTATATAATATATTAGTATATTACAAACTTTGATACTTATCAATTTATTATTGTATTTAATTATGTTTGTATAATATCAAGAAACATGGGAAAAAGAACGGTTTTAATTATTTTATTACTATGTTATTATGTAAGTGCATATTCGCGTTCAGACGAAAACGAAACGTTGAAAAAAAAACTGTCTTTAAACAATGAACCAGAATTCAATGTTCGACAACTTAATAAACCATTCAAAATTAATAAACTTAATTTAGTTTGGAGCAAAGCTAAACAGGTAACTCTTAACAATGACTATAATTTCGATAATTAATTTTAAAATCCAAATGATATGTTTATAATTTGAAGAGATGTTCAGAACCAGAATTGAGATCATTGCTATCAGAGCTGCGAATTCAAGATGAAGACGAGCGAGAACTTAAGGTGTACAAAACCAAAAACTTAGATAAAGATGGGGAAATGGAATCTATTGTTCGAAAAAAACTTTTAGGTAAAGTGACATGTTTGTTGTGTTGTATTTTTTCATAAACCGAGTTTGAATGGGTCTTAAATTATAATTTACATTTAAAATTATTTGAGCTTTTATAGTATATTATAGTTACTTGGATCTATTGAACAGGATTTAAGGACTGATCGACAGATATGCTGTTGAAATTATTTATACCTTAGCAATAATATTATTTTTAACATTGTTTCGGCACAATTACATTTACAAAAAAATATTTTTATTTTTTTTTTAATTATCAGGAATTAAATTAAATTTGTAAATAATTATACTATAATTATTTAATTAAGATAGTAAAAAAACTATAATTAAGTATTAGACGATTAAAAATAATATGTACTTCAATAATAATATAGGTACAGGGGAGCAGGGGCGTACCCAGGAATTATTAAAGGGGGGATCCAAATTTTTTTGACATGTAAAAAGTATATAATAAGTGTTTTGGACCTTAAGAATTTAAAATTTTGTTAATCAATGGGGCAGGGGGGTCCCTTGGGTACGCCCCTGCAGTGGAGCGTAAAATTATCCGCACTACATAATTTTTGCACAAACTTATTTATAGATTCCAGTATTATCGTTTGTATTATGATATTATTTAAAATTATGTTATTATCTACAGCAGCTCACTTTAATGTAGATATTTTATCTTAAATTGAGTTGGTTCTTACCACTTTTAGTATTGAGTACATGTTTAAATTAAAATGGGTTCTAAATGAAACAATAAAGTGTTAAAAAAAAAAATTGAAATATTAGAAAAACTTGATAAATACATAAATAAAACATTTAAATTCATGTTCATTGTATATTTTTAATCACCCCTCGGCCCTCAGTCCCTATTAGTGTGGATAATGTACGATCCACTGTATTGGTAGTAAAATATCCTTTTAAAGTTTGATATTTATTAATTAAACTACCCAATGAACTAAAAAAGTCAATGAATTTGAAACTAATTTGTATTATACCTAATTTATGTATTTTATTTTATGTTTGCTATTGATCATTAAGGTTATAAAAATGTATAAATTATATTTTGATTTAACTACTATTCATTATTTTAAAGGTATATTGGAAAGATACAAGTTGAGCTATCATTTTGACAATACTGAGAATGAACCTCAAATTATTAATCATACAAATTTTGAAACACAAGATCGTGTTTCTGGAGATTCATCTAAAGTTGTTGATAAATATTTATTGCATGATAAACGATTAAACAAACTATGGGACCAAGCTAAACAATCTGGTTTTACAAGTAATATAACTAATAATTACTAATTTTTAACTAGTTTTCAAATGAAACATTTTAAAAATTTTTTTTCATTTATATTTAGATATTGAGCTATTAGCACTGAAAGATGAATTTTTAAGCCACCAAAAAAAAATTGATGAATTTTATTCGTTGACAAATGAAATTGAGAACATGCAAAATGATATACCTATAGGTAAATATATTTTATTAACTCAAAAATTATTAATTGAGTTTTTACAATTAATTTTCACTAAAACTTATACTTTTTAGCAATTTCAAAAAAAGGATTAAAAGATGATCTCAATTCATTACACGAATTTCAAGGTTTTACAGATTTCAGTCATAAGCAAAGGAACTTACAGTAAATAAATATGTGTATTTATATAAAGATAAAAAAGTCAATGTGCTATATCCATAGGTATTATGTTGCCCTTGAATGGTTCTATTAGATTTGTAATTGCCGGACAGGCCCAACTGTCCAATCTGTCCAAGCTGTTTAGTACACAATAAAAATAAGTTAGTTATCCAAAAAGTGTATTGAATTATGAAGCTAATATTTTTGTATTTAAATAAGCCTATCTTTGACACAGCCCATAGTATATTATTTTTATTAACATTCATTTAAGACTTGTATGGCATAATCTAATATAAATAATATAATTGATCGAAAACTAAAAATACTAGGGTTTACCGTGTCTTGTCATAACAATCTAGTAGTTACATTATAATATTAATTTCATTACTACAATACTACCATCCCCAGATCAGTAGTGCATCTAGGATTTTTTTAAGGGGGGATAAACAATTTTTAATAGACATTGAATGTACGCATATTATATTCATATTATTATATAAATGTTGTATTTTATACAAAATTTGGTCTCGGGGGGGGGGGGTGATGATCACCATATCAACCCTTAGATACGCCACTACCCCAGGTCATGTATCGAAAAAGAATGGGCCGGTAAAGATATTCGCTGCCCCTGACTTGAAACTCTGCGCACGCCATTGGTTATATCTGATACTATACTTTACTCGATATTTGTTGGTTCAAACCGGAGAAAAATGATCCCTCACAGGGATAATAAACTTTGGTGTGTTTCTTTCACACCGGTTTGGGCGAACAGATTTTTAGATTATGTCTATGGGTGTGATATATTATCAATATTGTCGTTATTTGGATGTTGAGGCATAATTTTTTGATAGTTAAAGTTCAATGCATAATTTCTAGAAACTGTTTATTCTCATTCTCTAAAGCTACCTAGTAGTTTGATTTGTATTTGTTAATATTGTTAAACCATACGTTAAATAGATTTTTATTCTCCTGTAATAGTAACATCAATCTAAACATCCATTTAACTGTTGATTAAAAAATGTATGTTACAAAATATATTTATACCTAATTTTTATAATTTTTTTTCTACTTATTTGTCTAAGACAGAATATCATTAACTTGGCTTTATAAGCTTATTATTTATAAGTTTTTTGCATACAATATCAATAAAATACTTATTTTATTTTCTAGTGAACCCCATTAAGATTATGATAATAATTATGTAGACTTACTGTTTAAAACTTGTATCTGTACATTTTATTCTTTTCTATTTACATTATTTAGAAATCAAGTACGTGATATAAAAGATAGTTTTGATCGTCTTCATCGACTATCACTAACCGGTCCAAATAGTGAAGAGTTTGTAGAACCTAAAGTACAAGAAATTTGGATTAAAGCTCAAGAAACAAATTTTAGTAAAGATGAATTGGAACTTCTGCATGTAAGAAAAAATGAGTTATTTTAAATTTCACGTTGAACAATTTATACATATTAAAAACTTTTAGGATGAATTAAAAGAATATGAGAGACGACTATTAAAACTTCGACATTTTAATGTGGATCTAGCAGCTGGAAATGAACATGATAATATTGAAAAAAAAATTAAAAAAGAGAGTAGAAATGTGCAAAAGTTACACAAAATACTGGAAGACAAAATACAAAAACGGAGAGAAGAACTATAGACTTGTACTGTTGTCATTTTTGAACAAAATTATATTTTTAATTATTTATATTCATTTTTTTCATTTAAGAATTTACCGCCTTCAACAACTAAGGTTATTAGCCAAGATTTATACTTATTGTTAATATTAATTTTATATCAATAGCAACTAGAGTCTACTAAATTTTGTTTGTACATATTTATTTTATTATTATTTATAATAATAAATTGCCTGTTGGTTTTCTCTGAAACTTTTGTAATGAACAATAAAGAAAAATCTATTGTTACTCCTATATTTGATTCATTTGGGTTAAGGGATACTAACAATGACACACTTGATGTTATTAAACATGAAAAAGTAAGATTTAGTATAATGTTATTTTATTATAAATGTTTTAATAATTTGATTTTATAAGAATTTACTTTTCTTCAGTTGACTCAAATTTATAAAGGTCCCATTGTAAGAGGTTGTTATCATGGCCTAGGCTTAATAATGTGGATACAAGAAAATGAAAAGCAAATATATGAAGGGTATTTTTATGTAAATCAGATACACGGTTATGGTCGTATGATTTATTCCAATGGTTTGATTTTTGAGGTAATAACCAAACTATGACAACTTGAATAAATAACCTTTGCAAAATTAATTACAGGGACTCTTCAAAAATAACATGCGTTTTGGACCTGGTGTGATGACATATCCTGATAAATTCCAAGAAGTGGGTTTTTGGATAGGGACTCGTATTATTCGTTTAAGTTATAATTTGACAACTCGTTTAGTTCCATCATACTCGCCAAATGTTTCTACCAAAATAAAATTGCTTCAATTCAAACATCTCATTGATCTTACCCAAGTTAGTTAAAGTTATTAACATTTTTTTAGATAAAAAAAATGTAAGTTATTAAATTTTTGATTCTTGTTTTAGCCACCTCATTCAATCATAAATATACGTGACAACAAGGAAAAATATCTTAATAATAATTACTCATGTCCATACACAAGACATTTTAGCAGTTTATTTTTTGATTCAAAAATATTTGATACTGAATTCATTTATAAATCCATAATATCAGAGAATAACAAAGAAATAAAAAAAGAGAATCGATTCAAATGTGGCTATGATTTGGTCAATTTGATACAAAATAACTATTTAGTAGGTACCTATCTAATTAGAAATTTAAATATTTAAATTAACACCAATATATTTTATTATAACTAGTAATTACAAAACCTAAAAAAAGTTTTTACCTAAATATTTCTGAATTCTGCTTTAGAATAACACTGAAACGGATGATATTTTAATTAAAATGATTTTTGTTTGCTTACTAAAATTATATTTATTTTTTTACCCAAATAGAAAATATCTAACAAAGAAACTCCACAGTCGAATCGCCAGTTTTTATCGAACTGTAGGATTAGCATTGACGAACAATATGAAATTCTAAATGACAAGTCGTGGTTCGTTATTATTAATAAAAACGACAATATTCAATCAAACGAAAAAAATTCTGAAAATTCTGATGATATAATATGTTACGAACGTATTTTAGCATACAACAACCGCACTTTAGACAAAATGATATTGGCACATGCTTATCAACAACAATTTGGTGAAGTAGGTACCTATTCTTAAGACGTTAATAATAATAAAAAAAAAGCGATGAATTTCTGTACACCTATTATGTTTATGTACTTTTAGAAGACGTTGCTATACGATGTTGACGATATTTGGAAAGGGAAACGGAACATGTTCATGCCCTCGCATAGACATGAGTTAAAAGCTGTAAAGTTGTTGACTAAACTAGATATAAACTCTGAAAACATACAACATACTGTTCAAAAATATGATATTGATTTGGATGTAGCCGATTCTCTAGGCAATACTCGTCTCATGATTTCTTCTGTAATATTTTATATTTCAATATTTATTTTCATAACTTTATAGGCATAGGCACTTACCGACCTATTATAACCTATATCTATGTTTTCAAGGCCAATGACCAACATGAAGTTATTAAATGTTTAATTAATCTTGGCGCTGACTTGGAATGCTACAATGACATAGGTTTTACTCCTTTAAACCTAACTATTATGCGATACATATGTTTATTAAATGACATAAATTATTGGACTGAATATTTAATACCTCATGTCGATTTAAAATTTAATATTATAAAAGGTAAGTTATAATATACTTGTATCAATTAATTTATTATTGGTTTTTATTAATAAAACTGTCAATACCAGCTGTTATAGCTGGCATAGCTGGCATAGGCGCAACGAGGGAAATTTTTCTGGGGGGCTAGAATTTTATCAGCATCACATACCCTAATAATTAATATTTTAAAATAAAATATGATTAAAATCTGGGGGGCTCAGCCCACCAAGCCCCTCTACCCATAATTGCGATTATATGATTATAGGTACCTACTTCAATAATGTGGTTTAAATTTGAATATTATATTATACCTTCGTTCTTGGTATATAGTATATTTCATACTTGAAGATTAGGTGCCTGACCTACCTATATATATACACCTATATAATATACTTTAAATACTTTAGGGTCCTTAGGGCGAAGCCCCCCCCCCCCAAACATATTATACATTTTTTTAAGCTTATTCAATATTATTATTTATTTTTTTTATTGGATAACCCTCAGAAACAGGCCAATGGGTGTGGGGAAGGAACTGTGGTGTTTTAGGATGGGTAGGTTGGTACACGTGTGTGTTGAGTTTCGGCAGAATTTCTAATGGGGCACCCGTAGGTTTCTGCCATGTCCCGGGTGGGGGATGGCGGCACTTGATCTCCAGACACCATGACTTGCCCTAAGAAAAATGCCGGACGAGGGCGAGATATCGAACAAGCGTCGGCTGCTCGGCCACTCTGTCCCCCTCAATATTATTATAGCAGATCATCAGCCAAATGACTATTTGCGCCTATGTTGTGTACAGTATATTTTGTATAACTATGTAATCATACTGAACATTTGTTTTAGGAGATCAACACATTACATTAAATAACATACAGACAACAAACTTCTTTCAGCCAGAAAATATAAAAAATATGAAGGTAAATTGTACTTAAGTATTTAAATATTTTATACCAAGTGAAAAAAAATCAATACGTCTTGTAGGCTGTATAGCAAGTTTGTAATGCCTACTAATTGTAGGTAGCCAAGGTAGGTACCAACTACCAATACGTTTTCGTATATACCTCTTCTCTAATATACCGTATGCAATGGCCGGTGGCAGTAGATATATACCACCTATCCCAATGCGGTAGGTACCAAACTGTTTCATAACAGGTAGGTACCTACATTTAGTATTTCCAGTTTCTGTGGATTGCAATACTCTTGTGCTCCTAATTTAGGACAAAACTTGATCGTAATGAGAAAATTTAGTCCTTTCTCGGAATATACCTACATTTACGGGACACTTCTGCCTTCTGGTGCTGGTGCTGGTGCTGTTATGGTATAATCAACTGATGATAATTAGCAATAAAAATAATTGTCAGTATTTTATTCTACTGCATAATAGTGTATGGTTGCCAGATTTCGAAATTACCAAACCGGGACATCATATTGAATAACCCCTTTTTTTTTGATTATATCTTAATTTATAAGTTACCTATATAGAAATTAGTATATCCTTCTTTAATTTAAATATTTATTTAAGCCGAATAGCCAATACAATTGTTTTACATTAACTTACTACTATTGTTATTACTTTTTACTAGGTACTTATTACTTATATTGATACATTTAATTTGAATGAATTTTGAAAAAAAAGAGAAGTACCTATATTAAAAAAAATTACCTAAATTTAAAAAATGACCAACGTGTATTATTATAATTTACTGGGCACATAGGTTAGTAAAAAAAGAGTGCATAAATGCATGGTAAACAGTAATAAACAAAGTTCAGTTATAGTTGTAAACTTGTAGACAATCTATGATATTCATTCAAAAATGATAAAAGCATGACAATTGAGTTTATTTATAAATTATATAATTTCTTGATTGAATAATAGTTTACAGAAAATTATGATGATGCTGAAGAGATGATTTCGACACCGATTGCAGTATCTACAAAAAAGTAAATCATGATATTATATATTTATTGTTTATAGGTTATCGACTTAACAAGTAGGTTTATAGATATAATAAGTTTAAAGTTTGTATCATCTCTGAACATTTTAGACGAACATTGTTACACTCAGTAGAAGACACAATACTACTTTTGATTAATATGGGTGCTAAAGCAACAACTTGCACCGTTCCGAAAATATCAATTCATTTAGCCTTATTGACTATAAATTCAAAAATTCTAAAAGCCGTGTTCGATGCTGGAGGATCTCCAACTTATATTTTATCTGATGAGGTATTTATTAGTTCCACTCAATAGAATTATAAAAACGTATATACTATTACATTTTCTAATTATAATTTTATATTGTAGAACTACAAATTAAATTTGTTACACATGGCTGTTATGATGCCCACAAACTACAGCGTTGTACAGTGTATTAAAGTTTTAATTAAGCATCATGTCAACCCAAATTCAAAATCATTAGTAATTACTTTAAATTCTTATTAGGTACTTACATTATATTAATAAATTGATAGATACTTTATAGTTTATAACTTATATTACCATTCAATATGTTTTTAGCCTATGTTTAGTATTTTTCGACATGAATTACCATGGAGTAAAATATCAAATGAAACTAATGCTTCTATGACACCTATAGACATTTTTTGCTTAAAAGAGAATATATACGAATTAGATGAAGAATTAAGTGTCGATGAGCAATCAGAAAATGAATTAGCCTCTATACTTTATGACGTTACGGAGAAAAGTCATACTTATTGCGGTCTTAAGCCCATAGCTTTAGCTATGTTAACAGGAAAATTACATTTGACCAAAACGTTTTTGGAAAAAAATAGATCAGTTGTAAACGAAAACATTTCTGGTTTTGGAACTCTATTGTCATTATTACTTAATCCATTTTACAACTTAAACTTATCAAATACGAAACTAAATAAACTGTTGGATTTGTTGTTAAAATCAAGTTCAAATCCTTTAAAGATTGTTAAGATTTTAGTTAAGAAATTCAGAGGCAATATTTGTGAATATTATTCCAGTGTATCTGAATCGAAAAAGTATTCTATTTGGGTTTAAAAATAAAATTACAATTGACTCGCAAATTTTATTTATTATAGGCTCAGTGGAGAAATACAACCATCGTGCTATTCAAATGTCTCTGAAATAGAAAAGAAATTAGGAAATTCTGGTAGACAAATCTTAGATAGAATTTATTCAAAAAGAGCTACTGTTGCACTAATGTAAGTAGTCACACAATTAATTATAAACATAACATCCCTTTAGTTATGCCTTTAGTTATGTACTCCATGCCTATACATTACAAATAAATCAACAATACGAACATTAAGAACATAGAATTTAGCATAGGTACCTATCTAGTACCTACACTTACGGTCGTGTTCATATTGTATTAATAGACCAAAGGTAGGCTATCTGATATTATAATATATACGACCTTTATAATATTGCTCCAAAATGATCTTTTTATCTGTAAGAAATCAAGATCACAATCATAAACATTGTATAATATATTCAAATCGTGTTATTTTCTTTGACTGCAACAGCTGCATTTGTTCCTCAATTTCAATTTCTTTGTTTTTGATATCATTTCTTGTATTAATAAAATGAGTACTTATAATGTTGATATTTGTTTCGCATTATACATTTAACAAAACGTTTATAAATTGATAAAAATTTGGATGTGTGAATTTTGAATTGAAAGATTCACAACTGTTAGTGGTCCTCGCCAATGAATATGTAAATGAGGCCCACGCCCCACATCTCTGGAGAATATTGTGAGCTTTTAGGTACTTCAATAATATTCTAAAATATAATCAGTAAAACATTCTATTCGATAATCTGGAGAGAAAATAGAAATTAATTCATCGGTGAAGCAAGCATTGACATTTGGCGTGCTTAAAAACGAAAGCCTAAAATATGTTTTTTAATATTTACCAATTTCAGATTTTTTATTTTTGTATTCAAAAACTAGAACAAATGATTGAATTTTTCTAAACCATATATGCTTGTCCCAAATGAAAACGACAACCCCTAAGTTGTGCTGATGGCCAAACTTAAAACATAAATTCATCCATTATGGTGATCGGCGTACCTCGTTAGTCGAAAGCTAAAGTGTATAAGTATAATATAATGATATCGGTAGACTGTAACATATTAAGAGGACGCCACACCCGCATGTGTTGTCTCCGTCTTACATATGTACAACATAGCAAAAACTCTTTTGCGAGGGACAACTTTTCTCGCACCATATTTGTTGTAGAACTACCAAATTTTCACAGCACTTAAAGAAGAACTTTATCTGTGCAACAGCGTGCTCTTTTTTTCAATAGCACCATCCAATCATTTTTTATAAGCAAATTAAAAAACCAAATGTTTAGAAGCAAATAACTTGTATTGTATATATGTTATTGAAAAAAAGAGCACTCTGTTGCACAGATAAAGTTCTTCTTTAAGTGCTGTGAAAATTTGGTAGTTCTACAACAAATATGGTGCGAGAAAAGTTGTCCCTCGCAAAAGAGTTTTTGCTATGTTGTACATTTGTAAGACGGAGACAACACATGCGGGTGTGGCGTCCTCTTAAATTAAATTTGAAATTCCCGGCCTATATAATATTATGTTACCTATTTTATTTTATTATTATCTGACGAAAGACATACAAATGATATGAACGATATCACGTAGTCGTCTCCATATAGGTAGGTACTATGTATAGTATGGTTGATTTTATATTTTACACAAAATTTTTCTCGGATTCAATTAGTATATTTTTGGTTTTCCAATCGCGGAGTCAATATTAGTATATTTCTCATTTATACCCGGGATTCAATTAGTATATATATTATTTTTTCCCCGTTCAGGTATTGGGGCTTAAATGTTCAATTAGTATATAGCGATAATACGGTATTATTAATAATTATACGGGTACATAATACCAGAGGATACACCCCCGTAATTGTGCCACTGATAATACCTATGTATATTTTGTAAAATAATTTGTTAGTTTTTCCGTTGTGGACGACAATAATTGACGATTATTCAAATAAAAAAAATATGTATTTACTTTTATGGTAAACTGCGTGTACCTATACTGTTAATTAAAAAAAAGTTAATATAATATGGTAGGTTGGTACATTGGATATTGTTTAATCAACAGCCAGCGGAATCAACATAAATTCGTCGGAATTGATAGAACCCAATATTATATTAACCTATTAAAAGTGTTTAATATTATGAAATATAAAACTAATTTCAATACAATAATATTAATTTAACACATTTATAATTTTTAGAAATGATTATAAAAACCCTTTATTATCAGCTGATGAAAAAATGGCAATGTTGCATTGGCTGAATTTGGGTAATATAATGTTGATGCGTCAAGCAACAATTGTAAAGATGTCGAATAATCAGTTATTTACGTTTAGAACTATAAAAAATAATACATTTGTATGCATTTATATTCTATACTATATTTCAGATTTAAAATTAAATTTAAAAACTAATTTATTATTTAGAATTTAAAAGAAAAAAAGAAAAATGAAATATACGCATTATGTTTACAACATATGAAATTAGCAACTCGTAATCAAATTGTTCTCACTAAAGTAGGTTTAACATTTTTAATATAAAAACATTTTATATTCCTGCAAATATTTATATAGGAAGAAAGTCAGGTGTGTTATGAATGTTTGCAACATCAATCAAAAAAGATGGAAACTTGTTTAAGTTGTTATTTTGCTCTACTTTGTTCAGAATGTTGCAAAAATCGACATAATGAAGAATATAATTGTAAAGTACTAATGAGCCAGAGTTATATGATTAAAATTCAAAGTGAACTAAATGACAACCAAATTTATAAAAATTCAAATTTATCTTTTACACGTCGCATTTCTAGTGAAAAATCTAGAATGAATAGTATGATTTAGTTATTAATTTATATGAATTAATATTAAATTAAGAGTGATTTTATAGGAGAACAATTGGAAATCCTCAAATACATTTCTTCAACTTTAGTATCATCACGGTTTTCAAAATCGTTTACATTAAAAATGCTTTCACGGTCATCAGTTTTTTCAAAAACATCGGAGTACTCATCTTCAGGTACCTATACCTAATTTCTCAAAATATGTGAAATGGTTAATAAATAAGTAATAACAATACATATAATAGGTAGGTATACAAATACAATATTATATAATTGTATAGTATTTACTGACTGATTATGATTATAGAAAAACAAACTTTTTTCAAATTATTTTAATTGGTTAAGCACTATAAAAAATCTTATATTTTAGCTGAAATTTTATTTCAGTAAGCACTATTAAAATCCTCAACCCCATTTGTCCCATTAAATAAATAGGTACTATAATAATTCATATATAATTTTCCTTATTGCATTGACAAAGAACTCAAAGAACTTTTTGGTTTTCAACAAAATCGATTTTGGTTTTTGGTGTATCTCTAAAAAAATAACCATAAATACATGCAATTTTTGTTGAATGTTTATATCAGCATCTTCTATACTTGACAAAATTTTGAAAAAGAGTTGACTTGTTTTTAGCTGTGTTTTCAATTTAATTTTAACATATTAGCGACTGACGGAAATTACAAATAATGCAATTTATATACAATATATAATAATATAGTATTGTAGTTTGGTAAATTATCAGATACGTAGGTACTAAGATTCACTTAAATAAAATCATGAACAATCAGGAGTGTACCCAAAAATGTTTAAAGGGGGGGTCCAGATTTTTTTTGACATGTAAAAAGTAAACAATTAGTATAATTGCACCTTAAGAATTTAAAATGTTGTTAATAAATTGTTGATCAATAGGGGGGGGGACTCCAGACCACCAACCCCCCACCTTTGGGTACGCCCCTGTGAACAATTATAATTCCACCGTGTATTTGTAATTTTAGATGATGCAAGTAATTACAATCAGTCTAAGCAATCTATGCAGTCTATGCAGACAATTCAGTCTATGCAGACCATTCAGTCTATGCAGACCGTTCAGTCTATGCAGACCATTCAGTCTATGCAGACCATTCAGTCTATGCAGTCTATTCAGTCTATGCAGTCCAAGCAACCTAAGCGGTCTAAGCAGTCACAAGACAAACCCCACTCAACAAACAACGAATTTAAAGATGAGTCTAACTATTCTAGTACTAATAAAATGTACGATTCAGTATCTTCACAAATCAGCAATATAAGTGTCAGAAGACGTAGTAACGGTCTAGATTACGACAAGAAGAATTCGTCGAATGTTCACTCGGATATTGAAGTTATTATTGGTATTAATGCTATATTATATTCTCTTATTATAGTCTATATAGACTATAAGTAGGTAATGCAAAATTCGTTTGGATTGAAAGGTAGGTACTTTACATTTGTAAAATATTTTTCAATATAATATTTTTTAACGAAAACAATCCATACCTATAATCTATATTCTTAATTTCTAGATATAGGTACTAATAAATTGTTATAATACATATATTATGCAGTATTGCAGTCTTTTGTTAAGAATACTTTCCAAATGTATTCAGAATATGTATTTAAATACTTTATGTCATCTGTATTTGAAATATGCATTCAAATAATTTACAATACTTTTTTTTAGTTCAATTAATTTTATATTGAAATATTTGTACGTTAATCATAATATAGATAAACACTTAAACTTATTTATAAATATTTAAATTAAATAGTTAATACATACTCACTTTAATTATTGGTTCAAGAATTTCAGATCTCTCATTCTTTCATATTATAATATAGTCATATGATTAGACGTGCCAACTTAAACTCCTGCTAGGTGGATTTCAGTTTTAGATATTCTGTCATCTGCTTATTTGATGCAATTTTATAAATTCTTATAGCACCGTTGTAAAATATAATTTTAGAAACAAAATTTAAAATTGTAAAATTAGAAAATAGTGGTCATTGAAATAAAACGGTAAAACGAAAAAAAAGTATTTTAGAAGTATTTGAAATACCAACAAAGTATTTTAATACTTAACAAGACTGCATATTATGCAGTTTATCTATCGATCTATCAATCTATGTGTATAAATGTGAAAATGAAAAACTTTGAGGCATATGTTCTCGGAAACTACTGAACAGATCGTTATGATTTTTTTATATATACGGCCCGCGAACCTATCCTTAATAACCCCCCAAAATATATTACTATATAAATATTAAATACTCCTATAAACCCGGGATGATCAACTGTGACTTCATTACTTTTCAATGTACACTGTATACAAATTTTTTTTAACTACAAAGCTGTACTAATATAGGCTACCTATATATTTGATCTCCCTCCTCAAGAGTAGGGATTGCCTATATATATTCCCTAGGTAGATTGCCTACCTGATAATATACTGTTCACATTACCATATGAGAAACTCACGCGGGATTGCTAAAAATTAAAATTTAATATGATTTTGCCTCCATACCTATGCAGAGCGAATTACACCCAAAAGGAGTTAATTAATCACAATTTTTTTCCGGGGCAACGCCGGGTTATTCAGCTATATAATATATAAATGAATATTTGTCTGTAGATTAGACCTCTGGGAAGAGATAGGCTAATTTAAAAAGGGTTAAAATGATTTTTTTAATAACCGGATTTTAATACGGTTAGTTTAGGATTTTGTATTAATTGATTATTTTCATCCACCGTATATAAAGTAATAACGAAAAACTTGGTATAACTTTGATAATTTAGAGTTAAACCATACACTTGCGTACAAACAGCACAGGGTCCGCCATCTACCGCAGGTAGAATGCCTACCTGATTATATACTGATGCGAATCAGCATTTTTATTTCGGGCAACGGAAAAGTTAAGATACATTTTGAACACCATACACCGAATATTAAATAACGAATTGAACAAAGTTTTAGTCATATAGAGTTGGTACATTTAACGGGCAACGAAGTGCACGGGATCAGCTAGTATAACCTATATTATAGGTAGTTTGTTAACATTTATCCCACACCCCCTCACCCCTCACCAAAAAAAGTGTTATAAATATAATAAAAGAATACTTACTTATAAAACTTAAATTATTTATTTATTTAGATTTATACCAAGATTAACTTAATCCATCACGATGTATTTATGATTTTAGAGGATACACGTAATTACTCTAAGCAGTCTAATCAGTCAAAAAAATCAACGAAATACAAAAACAAAAGTTTTAAAGCTGGGTCAAACAGTTCTGGAACTAATGAAATGTACAGTACAGTATCTTTACAAAACATTAATAGCAGGGTTAGAAGTCAAAGTGACGGTCTAGATTATGACAAGAAGAATTATATTCACACTGATAGTGGTAATAACTTTTAAAGAATAAATATTTAGAAAAATTAAAAAAATCCTGCATAACATTTAAAAATGCATTTTCTTAACTCTTAGTGGTGAAATTCAAAAATAAAAATGAACAAAATGACAGGAGAATGCGACAAAAAAATGCAAAAAAAAGAGATAAAAAACTTACTCTTAACAATCAAGTAAATGCACTTCCTATATCTACTATGAAATACAGAATGATTAGATCACCGGGTTGTTGGATACCAATATTTATGTTTATCAACCGTGGCTCATATGAAGACGTAACTATATTACAAAATGTAATAAGCCCGGGAATGCCATTGATTTTAATGGTTGAAAAAAATGGACAAGTTTACTATAAGATCAATGCTAATCAATATGACATGTTGAATAACTACAGTTTGATATAAAATCACTTTAATATTTAATATATGTATGAGAATCATAGATTTTTGTTATATAGGTATTAAAAATTATGGAATACAACTTTAATAAAAATAATAAGGAAAACTATCAATGTATTTTAATGATAATAAACACAAAATATAAATATTTTAATGACTTATTTTTCTAAGATCGTTAAGAACTATCATTATATGCCTGATATAGTATATATACCTTATTTTTATTTTTTTGGATTCTAAGTAAAGTGTGGATTATATTGGTTTTTACAACGCAGTGGTATCTACTTTTTTAATTATACATAATCATTAATTCGATTAAGTATAATATTAAAAAGGTGGGCAAGTGGGTGTCGCTCTGCTGTACTGTAGGTTACAAGTGGGTCACTGTATAATGGATGGTATTAAATTTGAATTCAATGATATAATATCATTGTATAAGAAAAACGATTCTGAGCGGTGACGGTATGTCAGTCTATGTATAAGACATATTATATACATATCTATGGTATTAAACAAAAAAATGACCTATAATAAATTCCAAATTAATCATATCACAATATCCATTAGATACTTATAACAGTTATAACGCGTTATACATCAACAAAAACCGTGATACTGTCATAGATAATATATAATAGTACACTTTAGAAGTTTCAAGTACCCACGAATAATATTATTCAATCACAACAAAATAACTAAAATCGTAATTCTTGGTTTAAATATGAAATTTTGTCTCAATTTGAAATTAAAATGTCTGTAAAAAATAAGTGTGTTTATATATTTTTTAGATTTTTTGGTTACAGTATGAATTATTTAAGAGAATCTTTGTTTTAAATTTTCAACTCTTAGTTATAAAAACTGAACATTTTATAATTTTTTAATTCCAACGATTGATAATTTTCGAGATTTTGATAAATTTTGTCAAAATTCCAACTTTAAATGCTTATAAAAAAAAATCGTGCCTATGTATTTTTAATATTTTTCAACTGATATTGTAACAATATATCAGGAGCCTTGTATTAAATTTTTACACTTTTTGGCCCAACAGATAAAACTTTATTGATATTTATAGAAAAAAAAACTAAAAAAAATTGAAAGCTGTAAATGTCCATAAACAGCTCAAAAAGAGTCAAAATATTTTCAAAATTGTATGGTGTATAGGAAATGCTAATATAAACATTCAGTGAAATTTTCATGTATCTACAGTTATTCGTTTTTGAATTACAACAAAATAAGGAAATCGCTACATGAGAAATCGAGTGAAAATCCAATGTTGTAAAAATTTGAATTTCAAACGCTCATAAAAATTTAATTTGACTGTCCGGTAGAGATTTTTTTATTGATAAAGGTAGTTAATCTTATAAGGAATCTTGTGTTTCATTTTCAAATCTTAGATTTAAAAAGAAAAATTTTTACGAATTCTTAACTCAATATAATTTGCTAATTTTCGTGATTTTTCCATATTTTGTCAATTTTTGAACTTTAAATGCTTATAAAAAAAAATTGTGACTAAGGATTTTTAATATTTTTCATCTGCCTTTGAAACAACATATTAGGAGCCTTCTATTAAATTTTCAAGCTTTCGCAACCAACAAATAAAATTTTATTGATATTTCTAGAAAAAAAACTAAAAAAAAATGAAAAATGAAAATGTCCCTAAACAGTTCAAAATAAATCAAAATATTTTGAAAATGTTATCGTGTATAGAAAATGCAAATATAAACAACCAGTGAAAATTTCATGTATCTACGGTCATTTGTTTTAAAGCTACACCAATAACCAAATTCGATTTTTTGGAAAATCGATTTTGCGTAAAAATTCCCGTTTTTCCTTAATTTTTATGTTGTTTTTCCCGGCGCTTGTGAAAACTACTGGAAAATGTTTATCTTTGACCCCCCAAAGTACCAACTAGATTCACTTTCCTATCAGAAAAGGTACTATTAAAGAAAATCGAAGCACTTTTACTGTCCCAAAACGTGATGACAGACACAAAAATATAAATAAAAATATAAATAAAAATATAAATAAAAATATAAAAATATAAAAACATACATCATTGTAAAACCAATACATTCATCGCTCCGCTCAGAATCTAAAATTACCTATATATAACCATTGATTATAAATACTAATATTTATAATTTATAATCAATGCTATATGTGTATAACTAACTATAGACAATTACCTATCGCGTGTATTATTATTACTTACAGATTTAAAAAAATAATTTAGATCTATACAAAATTACAAACATTGCACGTGGAAAATTGTCCAATAGGTAGGTAAATAGATTTAATTTTTAGTGAGTAGGTATACTTTAGTTGGAAAACTTTTCGATTTTATCGTTAAAGTCTCCTTATAAGTGTATTTAAAAATGAAAAATACCAACAGTTTAAAAAATTGAAAAATTATCAATTTTGAAACTTGACAAATATTTTGGTTATTTTATTGTAATTCAAAATAAGAAACCTAGTACTTACTTCAAAATGTGTAAATATGTAATCATTATTTAATATAAGTACGAGGTATCTACTTACATTGTTATATTATGTATTGATAAAAAAGGATAAAAATACAAAATATAATTTTTATATTCTTAGTGGAAAGTACGGAAAAACATGAATATTTACGCGATATATTGATATATACTTTAAAATGTTGTCGTAATTAAATAATGAATAATCTGAGATATTTTTGCAATACATATTTTCATTTTCCAGGCTATGTATACAATAAAGATACAAAAATATATGTATTATACAGTACTCGCCACTTATTTAACTATACATAAGTTTATACTATAAGTTAATGTGATAAATAATTATAGGTATGAACACAATATTATAAACCATATGAATTAATTAAGTTTTTTATATTTATATTATATAATTTATAATATATAGTTACTTGTCAGTTGTCACTTGTATGTATAATTTAATTTATATTTAATATTCATATATGTCACGAGAATAAGAAAAATTAGAAAACTCAAAACTGTTTCAATCTCAATTCTCAAACATATAATTATTACGTATAATTCATATAAAATACTATTATGGTATTTGAAAAATTAGTTTATATTTTAGTATTTTACTGTGCACTTTCGCATTAGTATTTGTTTACATTTTATAAATTATTCCATTCAAGGAAATACTTTCACTTATGCATAAGCGACCGGATGAGTTGAGTTGATTGAACGGGATCTCAAGAATACAATATAATATATTATACACTATAATAATATATCCTACAATAATGTTGTAACTGTTTTCATGATTGATAATATTCGTATCATAATACATATTCTAGTAAAAATAATTTATTAAATATTTGTAAAATAGTAACAAACAGTGTGGGTATACTATATAATACTGTTATTGTGGAATAAAATTATAAAAACTTTTATAATTTGCATACAAAACTAAAATAACTAAGTAAAACAATCATTCATTACAGATAGAATGAGTTACCCTACTTACCGTACAATTCTTAAGATTTTCATGTCTGCAGATCAAAGATACCTACTACGTTAAGTAAATTTAGGTTTACTCCCGCGAATTAAACCCAATCAATGCCTTTGGTTATATTATTATAATATCAGAACATGTAGAGTCTACAGTCTCTTTAAATATCATTAAAACATTTTTTGTAGTGCTCGGTTTTTTTTAGAAAAAATGGGGTTGAGTTGAAATTAAAGACATTAGAGTTCCACAAGACACTATAACTATTTCTTAAGGATTCCGTGATCCTAAAAGTTTGTGAACCGCTGCTGTAGACAAACAGTATGTTATATGTATACATATTACTGGTAGGTATATGTACCTTTATAATATTTATACCAGTCATCGTGGCTTCTATGATTTTTTCTTTGTTTTATTATTATTTATAAGTGTATAAGTTCATTAGTTCATAGTTTTATTCGTATATTATACGTATTTTACGTACAGTTATTTAATAGATTATATTTATTTCTTTAAATTGTACGTGTATTCGAGAGATCACCATATTATATTTAATTGCCTACGCGCATGCACGGGTAAAAAAAAATAAACAATTTTTATAAAAAGTAAATAACAATCACACATTTGAGCATTATATCATTATTATACGGTGTAGCCGCATAGGTACATAATATTAAGGTGGCGCATGCGCTCAGTCAACCTCCACACCTCTACTCGTTCCAAGGTTCTACTTCACCCGCACACCGTTCACCACATCGTTGCACCAAACCAAACTCGCCTACTCGCGTTGCGTGTCGCGGTGGTTTCGTTTTTTCGTCGTTGTCCTCAGTATTTCACTGCGTCGGTCCGTGGGCACTCGTTCGCGTTCAGTTCGCACCTCTTGTAAATTGCTTGTGTTTTAATCATCTAATCAAATGTAATTCGAATTTTTCAGTTTGACGCAACGTAAATAATGCGTTTATACACTCGTAAGACGCGCGTATTCGAAATAATATACTGCGATCAGAATATTATTCTGTGAACGATATATTATACAAAATAAGTATAATCTGTTCCATATAATAATTATATTATACGAAAATATAAGAGCCGTTCGTTAAAGTCTCCGCCGACGCCATGAAACCAACTTCGATTTATCTGATCTTATTGATCGGATTCTGCGTACCCGTGAGTCATGATTTTTATAAATGTATTTTAATATATATATAGGTACACGCATGCATATAAGAAAAACCGTTTTAAATATAATTATATAAACATCCCAACTGACATGATGCCATTATCTGTATAATCGGTTCTTGTAAAAATGTAACATTTCATGACTCATATAATAATAATAATAATATATATAATAAAATATTATGAAGGTAGGTACTTGGATAACCAGTAAAAATAAAACTATTATGTACAATGACGATTGTTGACAATTTATATTTCCTTTCTAAAATTGTTGAATTTTAAATTTTTAACTTATAGTCTATATTATAGTGTATATAATATTATGTATTATATTTGTATCAATTTTGATGTACCTATAGGTACTAGGTAACAATTTGTTTTTATTGAAACTTAAATACCAATTACATTTTTTAGATCCCATACAATATAAAGATTAAAATCTACCCCATAGTTATGAACTTAGGTCTGTACTTATTACGTAGTCAAATATACTAATTTCAATGATATTATAAGCCAATAAGTTGAATAGTTCCCAATATAATATACTGCAGGCTACTATATTATGATGTTTTGTACTTGCCTAGTTTTGTTTTATACATTCAATTTTATTTCATTGATAAATTATTTACGTAACACTAAATGTATTATCGTTTAAATAGAAAACAATTTTATACAAAACAATATGATGATAATATGATATCAATAAAATGCATGTATGTTCCGTGACATTTTAATATTATTAGATATACATTTAATACATACAATATGGATTATTTCGACTACTATTTTTAAAAGAAACAATATTTTTGAAATGGCTTGAACCCTAGCTTTAAATATCTATCTATTTTATGTGTGTTTTTCCTCTTTTTACCATAAACATGTAGGTAACAAATTAATTCAACGCCAGCTGTTTATTATATTTTTATGTTTTACCTTACGTAAACAATAAAATGTCAAATGTTTTAAAAGCTCTTTTATTCAATGACCTTTATCATATATAATGTAGGAGAAACCTATTGTAGCATCATGATGTTGTATAGTTGTAATAATAGTATAGGTATATACTAGTATATCATTAATCTTATTGAAAATTAATTGTATTTTCGGAACAATATTTTCTACATGGTTATATATATATTATGAACGGCTTCGTTACACCAATATTATATACTTACTATCGTACTCTAGTAAAATATTTTAAATATCGTATAAATACACCTACACAATACATTTTAGATTAAACTTGACAACACAACAAAAAAATCATAAATATATAAAATAAGCCTTATATAAATACTCTGATCTACTCTTTTGTATAGTTTAGCTGGGTTATCGTGAACTTACATTACACCGTTAAAAGTATATTATCTATATATATAAATTCATATACGAAAATTAACATAATTAACATTATTTTCGAATCTACACAATCATCCAACAAGATCAATGAAATGAAATTACGAAACATCATAATATTATAATCTTAATAATATATATTTTACCTAGTGGTGTACACGTTAGGGGAATACATTTGGGTGTTCAACCCCTCCTACATTTTTTTCACTTTATATGATAATGTAAAAACGTTTTATAAATCATTTTTTTTTATGCCCACCCCCCTCCCCTCCTTCCTATTTGATATTTTTGTGCAAGCAATTGATTTTAGATGATAATAATAAAGATTAAAATATGTAGTATAATTTGAAACAACTTAGTGGTCGTGGCTAAAAAAATACCTCAACAGAAAATGTCAGATATGCTGTTGGTACTATATTTTAAGTATTTTATACAGTTTAGGACATACGTATGGAGATACCTACCTACATAAAAGGTATATTGTGTAAATAATATATAGGTGTGTCATGTATATCGCGGTATACCTAAACTATTCAATTGAACAATTGAATTTTGAACCTTAAATTCGAACCTTATAAACTATATTGAAATTCTTTGCATTTTCAAACCATTTATTTGAATCAACAATTTATAATCTAAAATATCATGAAAAAATGCACTTGTGAAAAAGTACATTTTTTTGTACCAAGATGAATATATAACTTCCAAAACATGAATACCTACAAAATTCTAATCTTACAATTATAATTATATTTTAAAAAACATTATATAATTCAAAAATTGTAACATAATAGTCTACTATAACAAATTTACTTTTCTAAGAGAGTATTTTCATTCAATATTGTACATGAGTATATTGTGACATACTGTACAAATATTTATTATTTATGTATATATTATATATATATATATTTTCTCCAAATGACCCTGCAGTACATCACGTAGCATGACGGATCTATATATAATAAGCATATAAATTGTAGAAAAATCTATGTAGGTACACTAAAACACGTTTATACATAATGTATAAACCAGCAGTTATTATTTTCAAGTTCATATGGTTAAACATATATGCGATTATTTCAAGTAAGATATTACTATATCAAATTTGCGTATTTGCATTCAACATCGTTAAAGAGAAATACAATTTAATCAAATTACCAATATATTAGACGTATGATTACAACATATATTATGTACCTAAACACGAATTTAATTTTTAATTTCATAACAAATTATTTTGTTTTTTTTCTATATGTAATGCTTAACAATATGTACCTACTAACTGTAACAAATAAAAAAAATCGTAAGTTTTTTACAATATAATATATAAACGGTCTTAACGTATAACTTGACACATATTATAAAATAAAAAAAATGCAGTTTAAATTGTTATTATAAAACAATATAGGTATATCAGTTACTTTTCGTTTATATTTTAATATACATACTCGTATGCATACGCCATAAACTGACACGACTATACAGTATACACAGACGATAATAGGTCTTGTATTCAAAATCATCTTTCCGTAAAAAAAACTATTAAAATGACACGCAGTCGTAGTGTTTTCTTTATATTTTATTACAAAATTGTTTTACATAATATATTTACTCATATTTGTATATAATATATAATATGTTCTACTTTTCATTTTAATTATATATAGTGCAGAAGTGTAGAAACCCTAACCCCACAATTGAGTATCTAGATATTCTAGAATCATAATAGAAAAAAAAAACAGTACTAAATAAGTCCAGGCTATTACTATAATATATAGGCTACGGTTGTAATATAATTTATATATATATATATATATATATATATTATATTATCATTGATTAATGAGTATATATTATGGATTATTGATTTATTTATTTAACTTGCATGGCATATGCCCCCGAGGATCAGAAAACGTATACCTACTCTATATTATAGTATATTGTAAATTGGTATTAATTATTATTAAGAACAGCGTATGGCGTATTGTAACTATATACGGTCTACCTACAACGAAACAATGAACATCTACTCAGATTGTAGCTTTGGTTTACCGAACTGATCATATCTTTTGCAGCGGCTAAGATTATAATGTACACCTAAGTACTGTTGCTATTATATACTGTTGAATAAGCGATTATTAATTAAAGAAAAAATGTCCATCTCAACTCGTTCTAGGGGTTAAATTCTGGTTCAACATAGCCCTCGACAGAACATTCCTCTGAAAAAATGCAACTGGCCTGGGTATTATCCTGAGAAATTTGTAGTCGGGTACAAACATTTTGTCTTTTATATATATATAGATAGATAGATTATGGTGTTACAGTTTTTATTTTGGACATTTTTGAAACATGGCATTTTAAAATATTATTTACCGATTATTACCACCAGGCATCAGTATTCAGTTATACAGATCCTAAATAATGTCCTATAGACTCAGCTATTGCTATTTAGCAAAATGTGCTATGTAATATAAATTATTGAAAATCATTGAAAGTATAATATTTGATATCTATGAATAGTGTTATTGAATACATTATTTCATACAGTTATAATAATAATACTTATAGATAATCATAATAGATATTATATATTATGTGTATTCAAACTATACAATATTTCAGAGTAGATATCATTGTAAGTCGGAATAATATACATTCCATGGATCTCTTCTTAGATTCCAGTTCAATCACATAATAGTAGTTAGATACGTCTGTATGAGTTCTTTTGAACATGTTCAATACGAAAAGAGAAAAAATATATGAAATTCAACAAAACCCTATAGGCGGGACTGCAAGACTTGAATAAACTATTTATCTTAAAACGGGAGAGTGTTGATCGGCGCGCGAGTGCGTGTAATATTAATTAGGTATAATCATACACACGAGCATAATACAATATATATGCCTGGCCACATTAATTCAATATTTAGCTTATAAATTAATATACAAAAATATTTAATTTGTCTACAACACGTGTTAACAATCGTAATTATTATACTTATTTAGCGCGTACATCCCAACAACACATAAATTATGTCACACGAATAGCTCTACAATAATATAATAATGACCGCCAACACAATTATTACTGGTTCAAAATTGTATGCTCAGAAACAGGAAACTATATATGCACACCAGTATACAGCGGAAGCCGCGCAATATACCTTCATCATGCGGTATAGAGGTATAGACATTCAAACGAAATATTTACATATATTATGCATACATACGGAACGTGTAAAAAATCCCAAACTAGTTTAACTTGCATCACCAAACTTGCACGTATCAATATCATATATATTATGTGATCACGTCACACTGGAAAGAAAAAAAAATTTAAAAAAAAAAACCATTTACGGTTCTTGTGAAGTGAAAAAAATCCTTTTGTATACACAAAATATAGCGTCGATGGAATGTCGGCTATTATGACAAACTAGTTATTATTATTATCGCATTATTATATAGGTTGAGGGGAACGATATGTCTTCCTATAAAGTAGGTATACGTCACAAATACCACCACATACCCCCTCGGCGGCGATGACGTGACATCTAAATATAATAATATAGCACTCCTCACTTGTCTTAATAATAATGATATGTCCGTGTGCATATTATTAATGTGTTTGT